TTGTTCAGCATGGGGGTGAGTAGAAAATGAAGGCTAATCATGTTTTGGGTGTACTATTCCTTTAAGCTGAAAGCTTCTTTTGGCTTGTTGATGACTTATATTAAACAAGCTCATCAGTGAGGCCAGTTCTGCTCAGGGATGTGATCACAGGGACACTGGAAAATACCAACACCCTCAACCCATCTATGACGTTACAGAGCTGAAGAGCTCCTCCAGTTGAAAGACGCAGATCTTTCCTCATAGCAGCTGTTAAGGTCACTGCCTACAACAAACTAAATATGATGTTTACATACAGGCTGCTACTTATAGATTTCCTTTTTTTTTGTTAAACCTTTTTGTTTTATGCATTTATACATGCAGATTTTGTACACTTTAAAATGTCCCTAAATGCACATAACATTTGATCTACATGTGCAATTTTAATTAACAGTATTTTTTCTTCTGCTTTAAAACTCATTCCCTTGTTGTTTGCCGATAGTCTTGAATTTCCTCACTGCGAAACCAAAGATTATCTTTTTGACTCCATCTGTTTTGTTTTTTGCACAGGTTTCAGCTCAAACTACTATTTATAGATTTACCTTCAGCAGGTAGGGGTCCAGCACCAGTCTAGTTACTCTAACTTTGGCAGTTTTCTCCATCTTGGTCCCAATTACTTTACCGATGATCCATTTAGCATGGACTGAAGCCTTTTTAGCTGACATTCTGCTCTCTGTCACTCAATCCTGAGAGAGAAAAAGAAAAATAGTGACAATAAACATGACTTTTATTTACACAATTCAAAACATATAATAAATTGACATAAAACAAGTGTCAGTTAAAAAACACCATTAATGTAAAAACAGCTAAAACTCCTTAAATGAGGAGCTTGTTGAACTGTAGTTGTCCTTCATCTGACACAGAAGATGTTGTTAAATCCCCACAACTGAATAAAATCCTCCATGTTCTGTGTAAACAAACTATCTAAACATGAAGGACGTAAGAACAGAAAGAATATGATTTTTAGAAAATTTATGTTTTTTTCTGTTTTCCCAAATTACCAGAACATCTTTATAAACATTACCGGTTCTGTATGACCTTATTTATGAAAATGTGTCGCATAATCGACTGTAGGAGGGAGGAGGATCTATACTAGCTTAAACATCGAGACCGCGCTATAAAAAAAAAAAAACATTATAAAAAAGACGTTGATATAAAATACGGATTCCATATAAGTATAAAATGTGTAGAAATTAACTTACTGAAACCAAGGCAAATATATAAGAATGAAAGGTCAAGAACCGCTCAGCGGTTAGCAGTCTCCATGCTCCTGTCACTAAACTTCCTCTGGCTTCATAAAGCATGTCTTTATGCACTAGCGCCGCCTGCAGGAAGGGAGGGCCACTTCTTCTTCTTTGTTAGATTGGCGGATTGCAAACAATTTATAGGTGCATACCGCCACCTACTGTACATGAGTGTGTAGCTCTATAGTTCCATCTCTATTTTTTTTTTTATGTTTGTGTTTTTGTAAAAATAAAAACAACTTTATTAATATCCACATTTTCCTCCCTATCTCCATCTGTCACTAAAATTCCTTTCATACTTCATTCTCTCTTCCTCTGGGAAGAGGCTTCGAAGCATTGGATGCAGGTCCAGCAGATTCATATGTTTATATTACTGTTTATATATATATATCTTACTATTTTTCATGGCGGCACTTTAAAAAAAAATGAAATTGTCCAGAGAGCTGTTCCAAAGGAAATTTCTTTTTGTTTTACACTTGTGTAAACAAAATGACAAATCTGTCTAAGTCAAAATCTCCCTTTTTCCTCAACCTCTTTCGTTTACATATTTAATGCTATCCATCAAAACATGATCAACATTTTCTTTCCTTTCACAATCCTCACATATATCATTATTTCTCTTTCCTAGTACAAACAAAAAACTCATTCAAGTAGGTATGTCCAGTTCTTAATCTAGTATAAATAAACTCTTCCCTTCTGCTTCTTTCTCCATAATTGTTAACAATTACAGATTTTTGAACACTATATAATCTTCTTCCTTTCTCATCTTCCAGAACTTATTTATCCTATATTTTTCAGAGCAATGAGTTATTTATTAAACTCAAATTTATTTCATTTACATAATCCACCTTTTCTAAGCTGCAGTCTGTCACATTATTATTAATATAATTTTCTCATTGCTTATAGGTTTTCTAGGCAGAAAAATCAAAGTTAGGCCTTTCCACAAGATGGCAGCAGAGATAACATTCAGCCCTTCCTGACTTCCTCATTTCTTTTCTTAGATATAATCTAACTGTAATCCCTTTCAAATATATGATTAATTTGTTTTGCTTCCAGCTTCACAGATGAGCTCCTTTCATTAATTAATGAATACCTTTTTAATTAGACATTTAATTACTTCTTATAAATCAACCTTCTCATCTAAAAAAAACTACATAGGCCTACTGTAGTATTTCTAAGAAATTCTAAGAGAAGCTAAAAGGCACTGATCAGAGCAGAAGACACATTTCAGCCCAGAGGTTTCATGAGTCAAATGCTTCAAGCTAACAAGTTCCCAAGTACAAGACAACCAGGATCATGGTTTAAGAGGAAAAACATCTGTCTTTATCGGGGCTCTTTGTTTAAAGAGGTGCAGACTAACCTCATTTACTCAGCCCACAGTTTAGCTGGGCAAGCAAACTTGGCAAAAGAAGACAAGTGGTGAACAAAATGGAAATTTGACCTGGTAATGGTGGTAAGTAAAGCAAAAAAACAAAACAGTTAGATTACACAATTCAAACAGTAAAACATTAGGTTTGTTCTCTTGTTTGAAAAATATCATAGTTAAATTGTTTGTATTTATATTCATTAATTTTTTAAGACTTTCTTTCATTTACCCCAGCGTTATTTTAAAGTCAACATCAAGTGTCACCACTGGAGGTTGTGCTTAGGCTAAGGCATAGGGTTGGTTTTTCACCTCTCATCTGAACTGTGGATCTCTGTGGCTCCTCCAGAGTTTTCATGAAGCTCTTTGCTGTGTCTTTCTTTGCCCAGACAGTAAGATGATGCAGACTGCCATATCTTGGTACACTCTATATGTATGGTTTTATTTATTTATATCGGGCAATGTAACTGCAAAAAAAAAAAAAAAAGTGAATGAACAAGTGCTTAATTGCTGTTTGTCATGAATAATTTACAGCACATCCCAAAGCTGGACGCGTTGTTTTGGAGGATAACTGCTACATGTTTACTTTCTGACACTATTTGTTCACAAGCGTTCCCTAACAAACCTCTGAGCTGTTCATAGAACACAGGTTGCCTATCAAAGAGGTAATTAGTGAGGGTTGTTTTAATTGTGGGTATCAGAGGAGAATGAATAAAAGTTTTACTTTTTATCATCTTCTATTCCCTTCACAATAAAGCATCATTTTGTGTTGGTTTAAAGGAAAAGTCCGGTCATGTTCAGAATTCAAACTTCTGAAAATACTTTAAATATAAAATTATTACATACTGTTCAATAAATGAGTGTTTTTAATTAAGAGAATTTATCATTTGAATGTGCTTTACTGGAGGCATCCATGTTTGTCAAAGAACACTACTGCCACCTACTGGTTTGTGACGTCACGGTGCGGTATCGGCTGTTGATCAAGTCCCAGTGCTGTATCTGGTCTTTGTCACAATGCGCTATTATCTATGATGGTGATGACCAGTGCACTGCGTGAAGCAGAGAGTAACGGATGAATGATGTGTTTCTTCTCTGGAAAGGTGAAATAACTATTTTTTTACTCTTACCCAGTGTATTCCAACATTCACCTGTCATGCATGTGGGCATTGTCAGTTTCACTATAGCTCTGGTGAATTTCAATGATGAAGTCCTCTGGAAATCTTGATCATTGATTTTGCTTGTAAAGCGGGGAGAATGGCGCTAGGCTTACCGCACCGTGACGTCACTGCCTGAAGATGGCAGGAGTGAGGTGTTACTATATTTAGGCAAAAATTACTGATTAATGCTAAATTCATTAAATCACCACGAACGTATTAGTTTTAGGTATAGATAATGATGAAATTGATCATTACTTGCTGACCGGCCTTTTCCTTTAATACCTTTCCTCCCTGAAAGATCGACATTTTTGGGTGTATTACCCAGTGTGAGTTTGATACATTCTTTACAATAGAAGTAACCTGTTCCTTTTGTGCAGCTGGGGTTTGAGTGTTTATGAGCCCCCAGGGATGTCTGATGTGGCGGAAAGCTGTGATACAAATGTCTGACAGGTTGACAGATCAACATAGATGCTCTCACACCGTGATGTTAACAGCTTCGTCCCTGTGTAGGAACTGGCTATGGCTTAGCACCAAGAACAAGCAGATCAGTCTGGTCTTAATCAGAACCATGTTGTAGTAAAGCACAGGTCTCCCATCTCTGTTTCCCATTTAAGGCAGTGCAGCTTTGGGTTACTTCTGCCAGAATTACAGCATTGCCCAACTTTAGTTTCCTTCATACAAGAACACTGAGACAATTCATATAATGCTCTCTATGTACAAACCGCCTTCTGTTAAACTTGTCAGAGAAAGAAGGACTGAGCGGACGCTGCATCAAATACCTTTCAGTTGAAAAACCTGTGCTCTTGCTCTCATTGTCTCGCATCATACCATATCATTATGGTATAATATTTTCTCAAGGATAAGTGTATTCATATCTTAATGCAAATGTCTCAGCGTTTGATATATACAAGCTGACGGACAGAGTTCGTTATCAGCTGTGAATCATGTGAAAGTCCTGCTGCTGTGATACAACACAGAGGCCTGAGAGGGAATACATGAATGTTTTCTGTGATAACTCACTGACCTCGTTAGCAGCAGGCTCTCAGAATAACATAAAGGAGTGATATTGGCTTGCTTTCTGCTGTGCAAGTTATTAATCTTCTGGTTCAATATATTTAAAAGCAGATTTGACTATTTGGTGGGAGTGCTTGATGAATCTGATGTCTTAATTATTCCCAAAAGACCATGAAAGTTTGCTGGATGTAGAGACAAGAGTGTTAGGCGTGTGCCCAGATGTTAAAACTTCTTTTTACTAAATTTTTATCAGCATCTCTTTGAGGTGTTGTTCTGCTCCTACCTAAAACATATTATCGGGATTGTTCTACAGCTGAACAGTGGAGTAATAGTAGAGTTGCTGCTACATTAGTGCTGTCATAAGCACCTGGAGCTGGGAGTGCTAAAGGCAGTGGAGAAAATGATCAAACACCCCCTGTGCAATCATTGGAGGTAGGCAGTCTTAAACAAGTGAGAGTTTAGCCTTGATTTATACAGAGGTAAAGTATCAATTGATAAAAATAGGCAGAACAGGTAATGTTATTGTGGGGGGTGAATGCTCTAAAGGATGACACCAGACTATTAATCTTAGGAGAGGGAGAGATGGAGGAAATGTCAAGATTTGATCAAACTGATTTGGTTTCTACAAGGAGGAACTATGTTAGATGTGAACCAGGCTTTAATTTCAGCAAAGCGCTGAGGGATTCTAACAAGGGGGAGAAAGTAGGTAGTTAAAAAGTGGGGATCCTAGAACGGAGCCCTGAGGCACACCAGTTGTGTCAGGACACCGGCGGTGGATCAGAGCTGAAGGATTTAATTTGGAGGAACTGGTATAAAAAAGGCAGCTAATATCCTGGACAAACTGTTTGTTTGTCATATTTTATCCTACAATGTATATATACATATTTACAGCAAATATATTATAATATATACCTTTATTCTATATTTGCACTAAAAAGTCTTGAGAGCAGAGTGAAGGCAAATCCCTGGTAATTTAACCGAATTCTGATTTTAAAAGGTTCAAATTAACTAAAAGAAATTGCAATCCTTGACTATTGACTTCTACAGATCTTTATACGGGCTAATAATCTACAATTTGGAGTTAAACGTGTGAATTAGTTTGGTCCAGGATCAGCAAGATGAACAAAAAGAGAAACGGCTTCAGCCACCGGTTCCAGATTTCTTTAAGGTATTTAATTTTACTGAGACGTCGGTAATCTAGAGTGGGATCCCCCCCAGTTATCCAGGTTGGAACCATAGGATTGGTGTGTATCGGGCAGAGTTAAATTGCATATCGGGCAGAGTTAAATTACCTGTAGATAATGGGGAAGGTTTTGCAGTTCTATGGTAGTAGAACAAAAGGCAAGGTTCTGGGGAATTGTCAACTGCCCAAGAAGAAATTTTTGATCAAATGCTAACAGCTTTAAAGATAATTAGAAATCAAATAATGGAAAATTAGCTCAAACAAAGTCCTCTTCTTCTCCATAAAAAAAAAATCAAATAAATAAATGTAATCTAACAAAAACTTCCAACTGTTTTTAATATTCTTTTTTTGT